GTTCGCAAAATGCTTCAAAGGCACGAGAGACAGTTAATTGTCTTCAAATTGATTTTAATATCTGTATTCCCCGCGGATGTAACTCCAGGACAGCGATAGCAAGTTCCAGGATGTTTCTTATTCCAGGAAACTCTTCATTTCAGTCAGAACCAAGTCTTTCATATAATTTAATAACTGTTACATTGATTTCTCTTAAATCACCACAGCCCTGTGCACCAAAGCACTTTTAAAAATTAATACTTTTTTTTTTTAAGAGCAGGTTAATTTCACTCCCCTTTTTTAACAAGAACGGTTAATAGGAGATCGGAAGGCACTGGAAGTGAAGGGAGGGCTGGTTTATGATTAACACACGTGGTCAGGAGCCCCCACACACCCCAGGCAGATCAAACCAGGCTGTAACTGCATCTTTACAGCGTTACTGCAGACGACTCTACCCGAGAGCAGCCGAGTCCTCCCAGCCCCACAAGTAAATCAGTCCAGACCCACCTCCTCCCTCCCCTCCAAGCACAGCTCACCCTTTACCAAGGGTACCCAGCTCCCTGCCGAGTGTTCATATCCAGAGTGGTGTCATGAGAAGATGAAGGAGGTTCCCCGGAGCCCCCGTGCCCACCACCGTGTCCTCACCCTCCTCGCTCACCCTCACGGCAAAGGGATGGGGGGTATTTTTCAGTGTAACTTCTGGCAAATGCAGTCAGAAGAGGAGGCTCCTGCGCCTTCAGAAAGGCCCTGCTCTGGAGAGCCACGAGGAGCAAGTAAACCACGGTCAGCAAAGGGAAACACAGATGGACAATCAGAAACAGGCAGGATGGTTTTTAGATAACAAAGGGAAGGAGGAAATGGGCAGAGTCCTGCGCTGTAAGTAATTCTAAACAGGATAGAACAGTGAAGTATAAAGAAAAACCTGGGGTGGTAAGAGCAGCAAGTATTTCTGTGACAGGGAGGCTTTGCTGGAACCGGCTGCTCTGCTTTTATAAGGCTCAACACACCCCTGTGGAAGGACAGCAGATGCCAAAGCATAAGTTAAAACCTCCTGGATTTAGTGTTTGTCATGGCAATTAACAGCTCTTACCATCAGCAACACAAGATAGCACCCATAGGCTAAAACCACCTTTGTGGCAGAATTACAGCACGTGAGCGCCGGATTCACCAGCTCCCGGCAGGAGGAACCACCAGCAGAAAGCGGAGGCAGAAATGGAAACCAAAACCTGCTGCTCTTCAGGACTCCGATTTCCAAGGACACGGGTGCAGTCAGGGGACTTTATACATAAGGAGACGACACCACGAAAGGGTCTGGGTGAGACTTTGGCTTAAGACAACAGTTCCCAAGACCAAGAAATGCTATCGGACCCAACATGGCGTCACAGGACTATTTTCTAAACCTCGGTTCAAGCCACTTGTTTATCTAAAGAATGCCAACAGCCCGGCAAGGATGAATCACCCTACAGCAAGGCAAAACCCAAAAATATTGTGGAAGAAACACATTCAAGTTCACATTAGGCTGCTCTGACCCTGCAAACGAAGCACTTCCCAACGTGCAGAAGGTGCTCAGCTGCGGCACACGCAGAAATCGCTCTCCACCAGAACCAAGTGGCAGCGGTGAATGATTCAACTAAGATGAAATTCCCAAAGCAATTAAGAAACGCAGCAACTCCCACTCACAGCACCCTCAGGCCAGCAAAGTCTTTACACTCAGAGGATCCAGCTGAGGACCCTCAAAATGAAGTACAGAGAGAAGACAGGGGAGCAAACACCAGCGCTGGAGGAACCACGTCAGCCCTCCCACCCTCTGGACCCTCGGGTCCCCCAACAATCCTCTGATCACCGCAGCCAACAGAAAGTGTACACTACGCAAATACCTCTGAGTGATTAGTCATTTGCTCTTTAGACCTTTTAAATCAATTTTCAGTATTCCTGGTAAACACTGTAAGGAGACAGGCTGCCTACAGGCCACACTGGAGTCCTGCCGCAGCCACAACGGTTGTAGGAATATCTGGGGACACCATCTCGTTGTCAGGTCACACACAGGGGTCACAGATCTTCACTCCACATCAGAGAGGACATTTCCACCTCCTGTCCCTGCCCCCGGGACAGCAGGCAGGAGGCAGGCACACAAATAGCTGTAACCCATGGACACAGCGAGCTCCGCACCGGGCAGGTTGGGTGTCGGAGCAAAGACAAAGGAACAGTCTGTGTCCGTGTGTGAACTCAGCACAAGCTCTCACAGAAGCACCCAGACTGCCTTTTGTCTGCCCACTGACCACAGATTTAATCACGAATCCCTTACCAAAGCGTGCAGCAAACTCCTCATGTTGGCACTCTGCTCTCACTCTGCCTGGCATGGTGGGAACAGCAGAGAGTTTATCGGGACCTGCCACTCCTGCCCCCGCCAGCACGGAAAAGACAGGTACTTTCCTGTACAGTCACCTGGAAAGATGTAACCACCCCAGCTGCTCCCACACCTTCTCAATGGCATGTTTCAGCTTTCCAGGCAGATCGTTAATATTTAACAGTTTGGCCTCTGGGACAGCAAAAAAATCAGTAAAGTGGAAAATATCGCTGAAGCAAGGGATGGAAGAGCTCCAGGATGCTCCCGGATGACTCCAGCCTGATTCCACTGCCTCCAGTTAAGTGCCTGCTGCTCTACCAGATCCAGGCTCTAATTCTGGCTCCTGTGAAAAAATCGGCAGCTTTTCTTCAGCTGAGCAATGACTGGTAGCTCCGAAAGCTCCAGGTCCTATCAATGGATTTCCACATTAGTGCTCAGTGCATTCTGTGTGAGAGCACCAGGAGCAAAGCACGGAGAAAAGTCAAAGCCGAGCGTTCAGAAAGGCTGATCTGGCCCCACATCAGCAGAACATGCCGTTGGAGCTGGAGGATGACTAAAGACTGAAGCATCTCTTTGAGAGACAGCAGAGCACACCACGAGGGTCACTGCACATGAACGGGCACCTGGCGAGCACTCCCGTCCCTCCGCCCCACGGCACCTCCAGACAGACACCACCCCTGCGAGGTACAAACACCACCACATCGGGTTCCCACTGGAAAACAAGGCTCTAACAAAGGTGTTATTCAGTGTTTTCAGTTTCAGGGCACGCGGGGTGACACATCACTGCCTTGGGTTATCTGTGAGAACCTCTGGAAGGCCCCAGGCAGTGGTGCTCAGAGCACAGACTCACAGAGCAGCACCAAACGGGACAGAAAAGACCCATTGAAACCCTCCTTTCCTCATGGGAATGTCCAGGGCACTACCTGCTGTTACGTGGTAGAAGAACTGCCCTGGCTGTGCTCCATTCAGAGACGGACACACTATGGTTTCTATATTTGAAGCAGAACGCTCTCGGGCTGCAGCCATCACTCCGTGCTCCGTAACAGTTGGGTTGGAAAGAAAGAGCCCACACCAAATCATGACTGTCCACAGTCACCTCGCTCCCGTCTGTCACCTCCTCTCCAACAGGATGAGAGTGGCACAAGAACTACTTCTTCTTCTGGAAGTCACTTGAGGTCACTTCTGTCTGGTTTGTCTCGGAGCCCTCCTGCTCTTTTACCACCTAACGGCACACAGAAGCATCTCCTTTCCACAAAGGACCTCCAAAAATCTGCTCTTCCAAGCTGGCTGAGATCAATTTCCATGATGCCTCAAGGGAAGGAAGCTGATGGACCATTTAGGTACTAGAAAATACATAAGTTAAAGAAATAATTAAGCCCTTTTCCCGTTAAGCCCATCAGCCAAACTACACCAGACCTGTGGAGAGGACCCCTCTCCTCTTCCCATCGCAGCCCGTTAAATGGCTTCCAGTTGATGAGATCACATTTCTGTCTCATTCCTCCCGCAATTAATTCTGCAGGAGGCAAAGATCAATGCTGTTACAATTCATTTACTTATCTGGTTTTATCCAGTCAGAAGGCTCTGGTCAACAGCCACTGGTGACCACCCAGTCCCGGCCAGTCCCTAACGAGGGTCCCAGCAGCTTCGCTCCGGGGGATGAGCTGGTGCTGCCACAGCAGGGCTCACCTCAAAAGGCACAAATCCCCACCGTGTGTAAGGCCAGAGCTGCAGAAATCAGAGCCCCAAGGAGGTTCAAAACCCCTTTAGCCACACCAAGAAAATAAAAGCACAATTAGGGGGGAATTAACACATCCGCCTCAAGACGAGGGGAAATGCATCAATTTGCTGATGCATCAATTAATGAATCACGCAGGAAGAAGAGACAGATTACAAAGAAAAAAGTTTCTGTTTATACATCTGCCTTGACAGCCAGCAGTTACTGCGAAAATAAAATACACTGCAAAGCAGAGAGCAGCCTAACTGCTGAAGTGTCCCTCGGTGTGACAAAGCACGAAGCACCTCTGTCCTGCCCCCCAGCACCCTCACGCCTCCCGTGCGCGGTTCCCAGCAGCGTGGGGCTCTGCTGAACAGCCAGGCTCAGAACTCACAGGGGATATCTGGGAAGGTCAATCTCCACCTCCTGGTCCCTAGAGAGGCTGAACAAACCACGGTGACCGTTCACTCCTCCCACACCCCAGCTCTGCAGAGAACAGACTGGCTCCAACCTCCGCTTGCTGGGCACTGCTTTGATGTCATCTCTAAATATTCCCTGTGCAGGAACCCACCACTGGTGAGCAGTGAGAGAGCACACACCACACACCCGCGTGAAGAGGTGAAGGAGGCAAACGATGTGACTGACTGAAATGTTCAAATTCACACTTACCTACACCCCCAGCAGCGGGGCTCTCCCGTGCACTTCCAGCGTTTGCCTTAAACACCACTTTAAAAGACAGAAGCAATTTTACCACCGACAAGCTCCTGCCGTGCCAGGGGACAGCTTCTGAACTGTTGCCATCAGAGAATCCCTCCCCATCACACACAACCCTCAGGTGCTGGGCAAATTTAAGATATTCCCCATCTCTTCCTCTCCCCGCAATAAGGCAATACTGAAAAATAAATCCCGTCACCACAAAGCACCGCTCTCCCCCAAAGCCGTCAGTAGCTGTGTACTCACCTGAGGAAAATCACCATTTTTTGGTAAGAAGTCAGTGAGGTCCACAGATGCATAGTTTGTATCCAAGAAATGTGGTCTGCTGATGGAATTCATACAAAAATCGTGAGGGGAATTAAAATATTGCCTGTAAGGAAACGGGAAAAGCAGTTATTTCCTGTCAGTCCTGAGTATTTCTCAGGTTGTTCAGAGCCCATCATGCGTGGTGAAGCTGCAGCTTCGGAGTGACACACACAGGAGACTGGTATTAGAAAAGCTGTGTTTATGCAGAAGCGATATTTGGGCAAAATAACACAGCTACCAGTTACCCCCTGCCTCCCAGTCTCAGGAGTGTAAGGGTCTGCAAAGCTGTACTAAGAATTCAATTCTTGGCAGTTTGTGTAAACCGGGAAGGATTTAATAGATAAAAATGGTCTGCGGGACTAAATAATATTCCAGTCCTGACAACAAGGCGACACCAAGCCTCTGCCATGTCCCAGTGCCAAGTGTCTGACGGCTGTGATGGAACCTGACAATCACACGACATAAGGACCAGCATCAGGTTTCATGGAAATATCACCCCCAGACACCAGTTTGGGCCATAAAACCGAACCAGCCCCGTGAACTGGCAGAGACGGGGAGCAAACCCACCCCCTTGGCACACCCTGGGCAGGGGCTTTCAACAGACCCTCACCTGCAGCCAGGGCGATGGAAGGCTGGGGACAGGCAGCCCCAGAGCAGAGATGAATTAGGGATGGAACCATCCGTCCCTAATGACAGAGCAAGACCTCTGCTGCGCTAACGAGTGAGGAAAGCTCAGCTCTCCCCTGGCTGGCTCCTGGGGAGGGCCCACGGCCCCGCTTCCTCCCTGCCAAGAGGGGCCGGGGATTGCAAAAGGGCCGATGATTCCCTTCCTCCTTCCCGGGAGCAGGACTCCGTGGGCTCCGTTACACACCACCGTCATCTGGTTTTGGTATTTCACACACGAGCCCTCTCCCTCTCCGGCAGGAGCGAGGAATGTGCTTCATAATCCTTCCCGTCAGGGCTGAGCTCGCCCGCTTGGGCAATCGCCACCAGCACGTTCCCCTGCTGGAGCCACACACCGCCTCGCCCAGCGCGCTGACTGGGTTCCTCTTGCAGCAAGTCTGTAGGTTCTCCGTGATGCCAGGGTTACAGAACCCACAGCAATAAACTTTAACAAGGCACCGGGGGGGGGGAGAGAGTCGAAATTTGACAAGAAATCCTACCCAGGAGCGGGGCGAGGGAACAACTGCGCTGCCAAAGTATTATTAAGCAATTAAAATGCCGCGTGTGGCTGGCAGCTCGTTAATACACCATGCTTAACATTTACATATGTATTTATGTGCAAACACAGTTATCTCCCTCTGCTAAATACGTTTTTCCTGCTCTTTTTTCATCGTTTAAGATAATACTCTGAAAAAGGAACAGCTCCCTCCCCCTCTCTTCCTTCACCCCTTCTCTTTCCCTGTGGCAGAGACTCAGCAGTGCCCTGACCCTGTGCCCGCGGGGCCGGACCCAGCACACCTGCAGGAGCAGCCCTGACCACTCCACACCAACTCCCTGCTCCTCATCCACACGGGCAGATTAAAATCCGTGCATAAATTCTGGGAATTAACCTATTTACACACAGGAAAAGGCTTGTTTAAATTGCTTTCAAGCCGAAACCACTGTGGTCTCACTGTCTCTCTTGCAGCAGGACAGAGCTTGGCCAGCGCTAACGAACTAACCAGGGAAGGGGGAAACTATTTTTACCGGAAAAGTGAACGCCGCCTCCTGTTTCACCCACACCTCGTGGTCTGAAGAGTCAGTTGAGGTAACGGGGAGGAGACCACAACAGCCCCAACCCTCCCCGGCCCAAGCTGCTGCACAATGACCAGCTCTGGAATGTTATTTTGCTTCCCTTAACCGTGGTTTTCAAATCTGTGAATGCGAGATGTGCTTCCTTCTTCCAGCCTGAAAGAAGAGCCAGCAGCAACACAGCGCGCGGCTCCGAGATGCTCCGAGTGAAGCCGCCGAGTACGCGGCGCTCGCCAGAGTCCCAGCAGTGCCTCTGGTGCTGCGCTTTACCCTTCCCTCCAGGGAGAACTCAAAGATGTTCACCCTCGTTTGAAGAGCTGGCATAAGCCACTCTCAAATTAGCTCAAATTCACCTGCAAAAAAAGAGCGTTTACTGGAAGGCTCAAGCGTGGGACCCCGCTGTGTACCTGCTCAGCCCCCAGGACCAAATGACTGGTCAACTGCTCTGTGGAAGCTATTCTGGATCAAGAGCTTCCCCTTTTCCCCCTCTTCCCCTCTAAAGCATACACTTTATAAAGCAAACTTATACTGGGTTTAATCACACCGGATTTACAACAGACTGCCCGTTTGCACTCTTATCCTAAGGTCTGACTTGGAGCTGCAGCGCTAAAGAAGGAACCAGGTGACCTGGACACCAGAAAACACCTGCATTCACCAACTCCAACACCACAAATCCACATCCTTCCTGGAGGCATTCAACGTGCCCATGAAGGCTCCAGTTAACCCAGCCCATCCCAGAGCCCAGACCCCGCTGGTTGAGCTGGGATGGCAGCCAGGGACCCGCACAGCTGAGGTCCATCCCACAGCTGTGGGCAAACGCTTCACCAGTCTCCTCCAGGCCACTGATTCACTTTAACCATTAAGGTTGGCTGTTGAAGCAATGAAGGCCCTACATCAATTAGTAACCTCATAATAACTAAATACATATGATTATTTAGTCAGTCAAACTCATCTCTTCAGTGCTGAGATTAATGAGTTCATCCTAGGGAGTTTGGAGTCATTTTACTTCTTTCAGCTGCAGAAAACTGAGTGCTGACTTTCTTCATTAATAAAACCAGACCTTCTTGACTCAAAAGACTAAATACGTTTAGCCGTTAGGTTCTCAGAGAAATTACTGTGCACTATGGTGGAGCGTAGCCCGCAGGAGTGCTGTGCTCTCTGGACAGAAGAGGCTGCTCAGCCTCCAGCCAGCCCCCAGAAGAGGAACACTTCACCGTGACTCAGCCAGTATCACCATCACCACCACTGCTCCATGGCAAGGTCACCCCAGAGAAACCACAGGGACAGAGAGGAGGGAATGCTGGTCTCCCACTTTGGTTTGGTTCACTAAAGAGAAAGAGGGAGCCTGGCTTCAGAGCTCCGTTTGAAGAAATCAGCACTTCTTTGTGTGAAGAGGACCCAGTGCACGTCCTTCAGCAGGTACCAGGTCACAAAAACAAGGGGCTGCTCCTGCCCCACAAGCGAGACAAGCCAGTAAAGCCAAGCCCCAGAATTCACCTGTTATGGAAAAGAATATATAGAAATCTAATGAGAGGGAGGACACTTTCCTGTAGGAAAACATGAAGGAAAGCACATGAAGATGTGCAAGGTTCAGAACCCAGGGAGCACCAACAGTCTCACTGTTGGTGAAATGAAAAGAAAAAAAAAGCTTGTTTTTCAAAGCCTACTTCTGCCTTCCAGCAAGCAATACTCCACGAGCAGGGGGCAACACAGAAAAGAGCAGGAAAACGGCAGGAAATGAGGGTGCTGTGTGTGCTGGAAACTGGGGAAGAAAGTTTCCCTCCAGGTTTTGAGAAATACGTGATGCGTGACCCCACTTCGGCAGCACAAGGGGGGTGCCCAGGTCTCCCCAAAGCAAGGAACACAGGGAGCTATGGCTGCGGGGGAAGCCCAGCTCCTCAGGGATAACTGCCTTGGAAATTAACTGAGCTACAGCTCTTCCCTACAGGGCACCCGAACCTCACTTGTTCTTTCACCAAGGTTTAATACACTGTTTACATTTTTCAGGTTAAGAAAATCTGACACAAAGAGGCAAGCTTTGGTGTCTTTTAAAGAAATTCTCCAGCATGAAAAGAAACTGAAAAGAAACAGGAAAAACCTGCTTCAGGACAAAGCTGTTGCTATGAGAATAAGCCATGTCCAAACACAGCCATTTGCAAATGAGATTTCTTCTGCAAGGTCTTAGAAGAGAAACTTGCACTAACTCTAATGCCATCTGCATTCTTCTCTTTTACAACACGGACAACTCCCTTTGAAATTCCATTTTTCAATGTTTTCATCTCTCTCAGGATTCCTGCCTGTAACACCCTAACCCTAAACCCACCTAAAAAAAAAAAAGATTCAGGTGCAGTTTTCAAATACAAAAGGAGAGACTTTTTTGTGAAATACAGATATGGAAAGCTTCACCTGAAAGGTAATTTTTTACAATTACCAGGATATGAAAAACAGGAAGCAAAGGGTGCAGCCTTGGCTAAATCATTCTCTAGCGAATAGTTACTACAATGAGCCTCGTTTCCAAAAGGAACTATAGCAAAGTCAACAAGTTTACATTCTGCTAAATGCAGGCATGTCTTTGCAGGATCAAGGCTATAAGGTTTCCAGCGGAGTTGACACGAGCAGCACTGAACAGGAAGAAAGCGAGGGGCAAAATCAGAACAAATGGTCAAAGAAAAAAAGCTGATCCGAATAGATAAACACAATCTAATCTTGTGGTTCAATACAGCAAAACAGAAATTCTGTTATAGCTCTCCTGAGGATTCACAAAGTGTAATTTACAGGAATCGTGCTCAAAAAGTCCATCCTCTTCCAATCAGAGCCGGGCAAGCCCAGAGCAAAGACACCAACCTTCCCTGGTAGCTCCTCTCCAGTGCTCCCTGCGGGGAGGGACCAGGAGGCAGAGCTCTGCTCAGCACCAGTGGGACAGCTTCTGGGTGACCCCACAAGAACTGCCCCATCCCACCCCACCATGGCCACCGGGCAGCCCACTGCAGGCTGGGGACAACGAGCAGAACCAATGCAGAGACCAAACAGGTCTCACCCCTCTGGGAAGAGGAGCCAACTCCCACTGCTGCCAGGCTGGACCTTCCACACGCAGGAGGCTGGATCTCTCTGCCCCACAAAGATGCCACAATCCCTTCAGGAAGGAAGTTAAACAACACCCTCCAGCACCTGGAACACAGTCACTCAACTCACCATATCAAGTTCTGTTTCTTTTATTTTTCCTTCCTCCCACCTCTGACCTAAATAAAAACACATCCTGTGTATCTCTGCCACTCCCTGTATTCATGGAGACACCAAAGCAGCCGATCAACAGCCTCCAACCCTTCTTCCCAACACCAGCATCTCCAGCCCCCACAGAGCCCCAATCGAATCACTCAGTGGTGGCACAAGGACACTTTATGCTGTCCCAAACATCTCCTGTCATATCCTACCTTCTGATCCAGGATGGAGGCTCATAGTAATGGGGGAGAAGGAAGAACAATCTTTATTGTTATGCAAAGATCCCTTAAAACTGCTACTTTGGGCATGTAATCTAGAAAAGTCTTTGCAGTGACTCCAGAAAGCACGTGGCTGATGTCCTTCCCAGCAGACAGAGCCACTGTCACTGCACAAAGGTTACCGAAACCCATCACGACTCCGCGTTACAGCACTAAGCGGTGCTACGCGTGAGGCAGCACTACTGAGAACAGGCAGAGCTTCTCACACGAGCCCACACTCGTCACCTCACACCTTGCGGGGAGAGGTTATCAGTGAAGAACATCAGTCACAACCAGAGGAAAGAGTCATGACTCTTGATGAACTCTGGGCCGCGCCGTTAGGGGCTGAGCGGGGTTTTCAACACAGACCTGAGAGGGTAGCATTTAGTCAACTTCCAGTCACCTGCACAGCAATAGATTTTAACTTAATTTCACCCGTAATTCTGTCACCCGGTACCAGGAATGTCTTCTCCTTCGCCTGTGCCATCTGTACAAGCCAGAGAGTGCACAACGGCTCCGCTCAGCGAGGCTGTGCTAATGGGGTGTTGTTAAGAACTCCATTAGAGTAACAAATCCAGGCTGAAACAGGGCTCTTCCTCCCTTACAGCAGCCTCCAGGTTTACCAGAAATCAAAATTTCTCTTTTTTTTTAAAAAAAAAAAAGCTATTTGCTGCTTTTTCCAAGATGTAGCAGTTTATGAAATGCCACAAGATCACTGTGTGATGCAATTATTTCCCCATCAGTTAGTGAAATAAAGTAAACAAGGAAAACGGTAAAGAAACAGTCGAATCACGGGGTGTGGGAGAGCAGAGGGGAATTTATACAAAGGAGAAGAGCACTCACTGGTTTTCACTGGGGAGGGACGAGGCTGAGAAGGAGGCAGGGTAGCAGCTACTCCAGGAGTCGGCAGCCAGCATGGAATTCTGGAAGGAGAAAGCAGAGCAGTCACAGCAGCCCAGGACCACGATTTCCCGCAGCCGCAGCCCTGGGGCCGGGCTCAGACTCCTCTCCCCCAGTGCCCTCCCTGAGCAGGGGTGGCTCTTCATCCCCCACAGCAGGAGAAATCCACTGCTACACCCCAGTTCCAGCTTTCGAACCTATTTTCCTATTCCTGCCCTCAGGAGGACAATAGGGCCGGTCCCCTCTCCCAGCCCTTTAACCTCAGTCTCTGCAGAAAGTGAGCACCAACCCATTAACTTGTAATTGGCTTGGACAGGTAACACCCAAACCCAGCCTCCTCTTGCTGTCTCCCCACCTCCCCACACAGCCTCTGACATTAACGGGGAGCTTCCAGCTCAGCATGTCCCAGTGCAATCACGGAGAGAACACAGCACCTTATCACCCAGCTACAGATCAGCCCTTCTTCTGTACTGTTTTGTGTCCAAAGCACCGATACCTCAGGCTGGAAGTAACATGCACTTGGTGAAACTGGTCTCCTTTTTAATTGCTGTATCCCTCCGTGTGACAAAACTCATACAAGAGTTAGGAACGGAAAACTGCAGGGACGTGTAAGCTATTTTGGGGTAGAGGTTTGCTTTTTGCCCCATTGAAAACAAATAGACCAGCGACCAGGTCCTGTTTTAGAGCTGTATCAGGACAAATACAGCCCTGTTCATCTCTGCCACTCCCAGAGAAGGACCAGCAATAGCTTTAGCACATCTTGGAGACGAGCTGGGGGAGAAACAAAGTCTGCAAATCTGCGTAAACCCTTTAGTCCTCTCCGGAGCAGCCTGGCACCTACAAGCTTTAAAGAGGTATTGTCAGACCCCTCTGGTGGCACCCTCAGAAGAGCCTGTCCCTACCCCTCCAGAGAAGCTGCTGGGGCGCTCACCTCCATGGCTGGGGCGGGGAGCGGGGAGCGGAGGCCGGGGAGGCTGCAGAGCGCGTGGCCCGGCTGCTGGTGCTCCTGCTGCGGGAGGTGCTGCCCCCCGTCCATGGCAGCGCGTGCGGAGGGCATCAGCCCGCGGCCTGCGCATGAAGGCCTGGGGGCGGGCGGCGGAGCGGCGGCAGGGTCCTTATCTGTGCTCTTCACCCTGCACCATGTCCTGGGGGGGAAAAGAAATGCACTGTTTAAATTTTATGAAACGGGAGGAGAAAAAAAAAACAAAAAACAAAACCACCAACCCCACACTTCTAAGACCAAACGTAGCTAAGAGATCGGTAAACAGACGTCAGCCCGCAAAATGCCTGCTGCCTCTTTATAAAAGAGAGGTTTTTTACTGGGAAACAGAGTTCTCAAATATCACCACACCTGGAATTCACCCAGACCTGCGAGCTTACATCAAACACACCTCTCCCTCTGCCTCGCTGCAAACCCCGCTGCAGTCGGGCAGATCATCACAATCTGCTGTGACTTCTGCAGCGGACACACAGCTGGGGTTCAGCTTGAGGAATCTTCCTAATACACAAAAAGATTCTGCACTTCCATGCAAACGCATGACAATCAATTCCCCAAAATCGCTTTGTTTCTGTGAAAACATGCTACGTAGGTAGAATGTGGTCCCAGGGAGCAGTGATGGAGTGATGTCCCCAAAGGACTTCAATTTCCAATTGGATTTAACAGACTACAAACAGAGATGGTAAAAACGGCCAGAGAAGCAGGAGAAAAGCATCCACGATGTCACTCCTTTCTCTGCACTTTCCTTTGCCCATCCTCTGCCACCAAAGCCCACACCGTGACAGCCCAGTAAATGGAACACGTTCCCCTCCGCGAGCCGGCCCAGCAGAACTCAGCAGCACAGATTGAAGCCACAATTAAAAATATGCCAGCTTTGATCATTTCAAAGATACTATTTGCTACAAGTAGTATTTTTGAAAAGTCATTTCTGAGTCAGAGTCTCTTTAAAAATAAGTGACCTTTCAGTGGACAAAATTATTTCTACATTTGTAATGGAAAGCGAACTTAAACTGCCTCTTTCCCTGGTGGCAGCAGCCAGGCCAGCAGAGCCCTGAACAGAGGACCAAGGGCATCTCCCTGAGCCCAGGGGGGAGAGGCCAACACCAATCCCTCAGGAAAGTCACCTGGCAAAGCCTTGGCATCAGGGGACCTTCTGGGCGAGGGCAGGGACCGAGATCTGCAGCCCCTGCTCCGCGAGTGAACAAACACCTTCACAAGACACGGCTTCCAGACCAAACCAAACCATTTGCCAGAGGTGATGCACTTTGTGGTTTAAAAAACGTATTCCCTCTTATTTTGGCCAAAGAGGGAGTCGGCCACCAAGGGTCTGAAACAGCTGCAGAGTTTGCTAATCCCATCTTTGCCTCTTTCCCTCAGCCTGAAAAATTGTGAAGAAAAACCCCAAACCCCTAATGCCTGAGGTGCCAGCTTCTTCCCTAGGAAAGCACAACAAAACACCACCTCCAGAGGATAAAGTTGTACCCCAGCAGAAATAACACCAGGCTACCCGAAAAGATCATTAAGCTACAAAAATCTCAAACCATTTTAATAAATCATTAACAGAATAAATACTCTTTACAAAGGCCTAGGATCACCTAGATCCTTCTCACTGGCTTTATTTCACCAGAAATTTACTGCAGTCTCATTCTTTTACAAGCAGAAGTGTTTCTTTTTACTACACCATAAAATCCACACTCAGGCTTTATAGTCCATAAGCTCGGGAGCAAAAAATAGCTAAAAACACTTTGCCAGCATCAAAATTAATATTGTTATACTGGCCTCGGGCCTCTTGATTTATTAGCCAAGTGTTAGCACCATGGGTCCCAAAACGCAGCCTGTCGACCACTCGCAGTCTCAAAGCCTCATTAGAAGCTGCTTATCATGGCCCTCCTTGACGAGCTCAGCTCCTCAGAACTAGTGGGTGCTCTGGCCTCACTCAGGCACGACTGAAGTGTTGATGTCCAGGCCCTATTATTTAAGCAAAACCCGCTTTATGTTCCATCTCCCGAAGACAAAGGGCTGCAGACAAATGTCCTCGGGCAGCCCAACACTCACATCCCACCCACCAGCAGCTCCACGCACAAGAGAGTGTGAAGACATGAAAATGCTCAATGACTTCTTCCTCCCTGGGGAAATGATTTATTGCAACAGAGCTGGGAAGAGTGATGCAGGACGAGCCTCTGACCCCAGGCCCATTGTGAAGAGACGCAGTAAAACGCTGCCCCAGCGAGAACTGAACCACCCCGAGCTCCAGTCAGGGGATGCTCCTCTCGGGGCTTTGGGGCTGTCGCCTTCTCTGCCTCTACACCGCTCTCGGGTGCCGCCGGCCGCCCACCAGAGATCCTAGGAAATTTTAAGCTACATCTAAGGAATGAAGTAGTAAGAGACAAGGTAAACTTTTATCATGACTCCACTTCTCTCCAGTGCACAAAACAAAAAAATTGAAGGGTTGGCTTATAAATAGCCCTGTCTCATTCCTCCTCCCAGTCACTAAATCCATGGCTTTTCTTCTTGTCTCAGTGGATTTAACAAGAGGACCCCGATTATAAACGAAGCCTGTGCTCCAACATCCCAGTCCCCAAACGACGCTGTGGGGAGCAGAGACCTCCGACGAGGTTCCTTTTCCACTTCCATGGACCCGCTCCAAGACCCTCCAGCTGGAGGAACACCAGTGGCATAGGCTGCGAGGGAGACAGAGCAGCAGGAAGAGCTTCAGCAGGCTCCCTTCAAATGCAGCAGGGACCTACAGATGGCATTAGCTGGGGGGTTTTCAGGGAATGGGGTGTATGGGTGTCCCTTTTTTCTTCAGCAGGCTCCCTTCAAATGCAGCAGGGAGCTACAGATGGCATTAGCTGGGGGGGTTTCAGGGAATGGGGTGTACGGGTGTCCCTTTTTTCCCCCCTAAGATTACCTTTAAATACTGCTCCACCATTCCTGAACAGCAGTGGTGAGATCAACATCAGAGACTGCTTTAGAGATACCTCTGGTGCCTTTAAAATTCTGCGCCTGTTCTTTTCACCAGAGACTTCAGGGGTTTTGCTACCTTTTTTCCCCTTATTTGTAACAGCTCTTGATAGGAAATCAGCAGCAGTTGTTCCCGTAATGGCTGTAGCAAATATACAGCTTTACTTACACATCTAGAGCAACTTAGGAAGGGTAAAATCAATACCAGAATTTCTCCCCATCTGTGCTACATTATCTCGTGTCTTGACACCACCAGGTTTCACTGCCCGGAGTCTCTGCCGAGCAGCACCTTTCTCTAAAACAGCATTAGTTCCTCAGGAGAACTCTTGCACAATAGATCATGCCCAATTAGCAAAACGAAGGAAACCTGCTTGAGGAACTGTGCACTTCCACGCTTGAGCAATGGTCAGATGGTAAAGGACAATGCACTGAATGTGCCTGACATAATCCCTCTGAGGAGATCGAAGTGCAGCCCAGCCTTACAGGAGGGCTCCCCAAAAACTGGAGACCTTCTGTTTGGAGACACCAAGGAAGTCAGTACTGCAGTTAATGATGGAACTGGATGTCATGGACTCCCAGTTGTGTCCTCTGGGCCACACTGGGAGCAGGAAACATCTCAAACCCCCCCAAAGTAATGCCCCCCTGAGGAGACGTTCCCTTCACGCACAGATGTCCCTCAGCACCAATCCCCATCCCAAGGCTGCTGGGGTTTTACAGATGGGTTATTTAACGTACAGAACTAAGTGAAGCACTCCGGTGCCACCAGAACTATTCAGGGAGCAATACGACTGAAAGAAACAAACCCACAGAACAACCCAAACCCAACCAACCAACCACACACCAGACATCGTGAGGATAAATCCCCTGAAAATCACTGGAATGGATTTTTTCATTTCCCTGCCACAAAACCTATATAATTACAAAAAAATTATCTTGAAGCACAATCTGTAGAGCTGCTGACTCACCACCAAGCAGGGACGTTTCTGTTCCTAGACTCAGCAGAGAGGGGGCTCCTGCAAGCAGTTGTGTTAAAGGCTGGAAGAGGAGAGCACTGGCTCCACAGGGCAGCCAAAGGGACGGGCGCTGGTGGGACATGGAAGGTGAACCCCAACACCACGAGGAGAAGGTTCCCACCTGCAGGAACTTCACTCATTCCCTTCTGCAGGCAGTGCTGAAACCAGCCAAGCCATCTCCCGGCCTGAGCGATGGCACCCGAGCACTCACCGGCCTGAAAACCATCGGACTCGCTCCTTTCTGGCTGAGCAGCTGATGTTTAATAACGAAACTGATTCCCTACACGGCATGATAAAGCCCCGAGAGCAGCTTGATTGCATCACAAGTCATTCTGATTAAGCTATAAAAACAGTTTCAATTTTAAGGCAAGTTTGCTGTTGAGCCCAGGCAGTGAGGGGCAGGTTCAGTCTGGAATTTCTGCGGAATTCGTCACGCCCAGAGGTTACAGAGCACAAATTTCAATTTTTAACAGCTTAAGCTTTTTAGAAATTTATGGGACCACTACTGTAGCAGACAGTTTCCAGTTTGAAAAACATAACGAACTGCTCCGCACTACTCGGGATGGATGGAGCTGTGGGTGAGGGCTCAGCTCAGCGGGATCTGCCCTCGAGAGGTGAGAAGAGCCCCCTGCCCGCTCAGTCACCACCGGCACTTCCTCCTGCTCTGCTTCAGCCTCTGGTACTGCTTTTTACATGTCTCCACTGAAGGAAGATGGGTGGAAACCACAGGCATGCACGGAGCAGCCAGAGCTGAACCTGCCCATCGTGAATTACCACACAATGACAAAAAGGGCTCAGAAATGTGATCCAGTTCCTCCTCCTGCAGATTAATTCCACTCCGCCCGGGGAGCAGGGAGGGAGCCCCAAACCTCCTGCCCCTACTCCACTCCTTCCACCAACACAGGCACCCGCGGGCGCTGCAGCTGGAGGGAATTCTTCAGAACACCATCAGTATGTAAGTGCACAAAGGAATGCGAACGCTACAGAACTCCTAAAAGCCATTTTCATGTCTCCAGCGCCACGCTGGCTTCCAGTTCCTCTTTAGCATTTCTTCTTGCTGTATTTTTGGACGTCTCAGACCAAACAACATTGTGCCTTGAGGGATGGGAAGGGAAGGGTTCGGATCAGAGCCCCAATCGCTGCCACGGGCAGTGACTCACTCCGGGAACAGGAAAACCACAGGAGAGGAGCGAGGATCTCCCCTGGTGAAGCCGGCACCGTGCCCTCGCAGCGCAGCCACCAGGCTCCGGCCCATTTTGAACGGGGACTGACAGTGTCTGAGTACAAAAGTTCAACACAAACAGAAGTATCAGAACTTTTCCCTGAGGATAATCCAAAACATGAATGGAAATACCAGTTTTTCCATTCTCTCGCTATTTGCAACTTAGCTCTTTTTTGTTAGGCAAAACCAGTTCTTCACAAAGCAAAACTAAGCATTTTGTTTAAGTATCTGAAATGAAGTCAGCCCCAGGAGCACACCTGCAAGGCAGAGATGTGCTATTACACTATTCAATTAAAGGGACAGAGAAAAGAACAAAGAGCTTCACTCACTAAGGTCAGAAGCCAAGAAAACACTGCTCCCTGACTCTCCACACTTTGCTCCATCCCCAGTTCCCAAGACACACTGGAAGAAGCACTCCCCGTCGGAGCTGAGCAGGGCCCAATGTTCTGCTTCACACGCAGCTACTCACAACAGAAAAAATACTCCAGGGCATCAAAGGCTGCTTCCCCATTGATCACCAGCACATAAACACCAGCTCAGACCAGCCAACCTCCCGGCAGCCCCAACACAGACTTTTTCACTCGACAGAGATGTGTATTACCCCCTTTCACAGCTACACAGCTACAGACCTCCATCCTGTTACCAAAACGACTGAAGAGTTTTAAGTTGAAAAGTGTTTCGGGAGAATATAAACCTCCAAATTAAGCCTAGAAGGCTTTCCTGAGAAATCCAGACTCTCACAACTGAAAGCCACAGCACAGTGTTCAGTGACTACACAGCTGGCTCTTTATTACACTGTCACTATTCAAAAAGCTTCAAACCCTTGTCAGCGTTTTTATTATAGACCCTGCGTTTCAGGGATCTATAACTTAACCATTAAAAAGGCCCATTCAGTCAGGAAACACACCCCTCAAACACACCACATGCTCCCCATTTTAAACGAAAAACTTAAAAAATATTCCTGTCCACACATACTTTAGTGCTAAAACAACCTGTGATGGAAGCAGCGGCAGCTTTTCAGCGCCCGTCGGGTCTGGCAGCTGCAGCCCGTCCCGTGTCTGGCACATGACGAAACACCGCGCTGGGTCCTGCTGGTTTTGTTCCAGAGTCGGGGGGGATTAGGGAGGGATCCGCTGTGGGGAGCTCAGCAAGCACACACCCAAACAGCAACACCCAACAGCACACAGCCAGGGGAAGGAGAAGTGATTTTGCAGAAGTGTGCTCCTGTTCAAGGATGAGGATGTAAGACCCCAAGAAAGGTGGAGTACGGGAGAAAACTGCATTTCACAAAACATAAAGAATTTCCAGGGGTTTTTTTTTTTCTAAAAGGTGCGAGTTCTTACATAAGAAAAATCCACACGTGGGACTCAGCAAAATCTTTCTGAAAGCTTTTAAAAGAATCAAACTTGAGATCTAATTAAAAAATCATTGCAAAGTACACTGGCCGTGCCACCTCCTGTCAAGTTCTCTGGCTTAACCGGGACGTCTTCCTTTGTAAATCAAAAATATCTTCTCCTTCAGCTGGCCCCAAAGCCCACCAAAAGCACAGTATGATTCCAAGAACAGGCAAAACACCATCACGGGAAGCAGGCGGGAGAAGCACACCTTTCATTTCAACTTTCCTCAGCTGTCCCAGCTCCACATGAAAGAGCCCCAGATAGCCATGTCACTGTTTAATTAGACAAAGACCCTCTAACGACGACCACCATTCCATTAACTTCAGCATCTAACACTGGGCAAGCTGGCAGAGAGAGCGCAGTGATTTCAGACACTCTGGGATAACACCAGCCCTGTGCTGCACCAGTGGCAACAACTGAAAAAGTACTTTAGACAATCCCAGTAGTCTTTAAACTGTACTCACACGCGTGTTTGAATGAGACTTCATTCAGTTCAGCTGCTACAGGTATTAAGTCTTAGTTTTGGGAAAGTGAATGTGCAAACACTGAGCCTCCATCAAGAAAAGAGCAAGCAGCAGAGATGAGAACAGGGTTCAGGCTTCCAAAGCCTCCAGCCGCATCCTACCTCTTTAACTCTGCAAAACTTTTACTGCTTTACAGGATGCACAACGTTCCCTGAATGCAAAGCAAAAGCATTAGTATGGAATTTTCCTCTCAAACACATTCCCACCGGCAGCTATTCTTCATTTCGACGTACCCACACGGGTCAGAGCGGGCTCCACGCTTCAGCTGACACGTAGATGATCTCAGAGACAACGGCACCGCATAGGTACCGCCCAGTACCATCCATGTTACACCTGTAACAGTGCACAGACCAGAAAACCCCTCACGGGCTTTCGGATCCCCACAGCCAACCTGCAGAACCAGCCCTTCAAAAGACCATCCTCTTGTAATTGCAAACGGAGCGCGCTAATTGGAAGTCGCAGTTCTTATGCTGATGTTTCTGGTTACTTTTGAGAAGGGAGTGCTTTCTTAAACCTCGTGCTGGTACTTAATTATGTTAAGAACTGAGTACACCAGTGACCGCTAACAGTAGCGGAGTTAAAAGTCTGTTAGCATAGGCTCTGTGTTCCAGAGGCTTTTAATTGGGCCATTAAGAGCTGCACCACAACAGGCAGAAACTTGGCAGGGGAGGCCTCGGCCCGCGATGGGTTCCCGTTCACGTTTTTAGAGCTCTGAGTTTAAAAGCCGCTGGACAAGGAGGGCAGAAACGCGCCAGTTCCACCAGTTTTCGCTTCTGCAGCCGCTCCTCGGGCACCAGCTCCCCCCACAGGTCCCCGGGGCGGCGAGAGGAGCCCGGGCCCCGCTGTGACACCGGGAGGAGCGGCCCCCCCTCGCCACCAACTTCATTCCCACTCATCTTCTTTTTTTCTACCCAAACTCAGTACCGGGCCCCGCAAACCCAACGGGACCTACCTCCACCGTGGCCCCGAGCACTCAAGTCACCGATTCGCAGCCATAACCCCCCGAGAGACGGGACACACACGGCGGGGCCCTCCCGGTGTGTGTGTGTGAGGGGAGGGACACCAGGCCGCCCACACACACCGGCTACCCCCAGAGAGCCCCACCGCAGCACCGACAGCTCCCTCCCCACCACACCCCAACCCGGCCTCACGGAGCGGAGACCCGGGGAAATCTCCTCACGGCTGAAAAAGACCGGGCAGCCCGTACCTGCGTCCCGGTGAGGGAAGGGAGGAGGCTCAAGCTCCCGCCCGGCGGCCGCCGCCTCTTCGCACTTCCGTGTTGAGCGCCGCCATCTTGGGGGGGACACGGACTTCCGGGCCGGAAGTGGGCGGTGAGGGAAGCGGCGTAATGGCGGCCCCCGGGGCTGGGCCTTCCCTTCCCCGTTGGGAGCCCTGAAGGGAAGGCCCAGCCCTCTCCCCGGCGTTGTGAGAAGGGATTCTGCCCCTCTGCCCTGCGGCTACCAACATCAGAAGGACACGGAGCTGTTGGAGCGGGGCCGGAGGAGGCCACGGAGATGCTCCCCCAGGGCTGTGAGCCACCCCTCTGCTGTGAGGACAGGTTGAGAGAGTTGAGGGGTTCAACGTGGAGAAGAGAAGGCTCCGGGGAGAGCTTCTAGACCCTTCCAGTCCCTCAAGGGGCTCCAGGAAAGCTGGGGAGGGACTCTGGATGAGGGAGGGGAGCCATAGGATGAGAGGGAAGGTTTTGACACTGAAAGAGGGGAGATGGAGCTGAGATGTGGGGAAGAACTTGTTTGGTGTGAGGGTGGGGAGAGCCTGGCCCAGGTTGCCCAGAGAAGCTGTGACTACCCCATCCCTGGAGGGGTTCAAGGGCAGGTTGGAGGGGGCTTGGAGCAACCTGGTGTGGTGGGAGGTGTCCCTGCCCAGGGCAGGGGGGGAACTGGGGGGCTTTTAACTGTCCCTTCCAACCCAAACCAGTCTGAGAGTCTATGATTCCTCCCTTGTCCTACCTGCAGAACAGGGGCAATAGCTCCGCAGAGGAAGCGGCAGAGCTGAAAAGGGAAACACTTAACTCCTGAGCAGTTTCCCAGGAATGCCTGCTTGCTGCCATCCCATGAGAGTCTGGCTCTAAGAATTAATGGCAAATCGACTCAAGTGCAGTATCACGAAGCTGAAAAATAAACTCCTCTGGCAAATCCCCCTGTGCTCCTTCCTTGCTTCTCCCTCTCACCCATTCTTGTAATTTTTTTTTTTTTTTTTTAAATTTCCCGTAGCTCATGTTGGATCTGTGCCCCTTGAAGTCCCAGGGTAAGAACAAAAGCCCCGACAGGGCCTGCCAGAGGGGTCTATTTTTACGTTGGCAGCGCGGATGTCTCGGGTCTGATTTATCCCCAAGAAGGAAAGGGCCGGCGGCCCAGAGCCACCACTATCTGCTTGGCCTTTGGAAACGTGGGGCTCTTGCCAAAGGCACCCGCGGGAGGGAAGGGGGGACCTTGACCGGGGAGGTCTGTGACACTGCGGCCGGAGCGGGGCCAGGGCTCTGGTGCCCCTGGGGGGTCCACTGCTGGCAGCACCCGGGCTCAGTGCTGCAGTTTGAGCTCCCCCCTCTCTGTTCCAGCATGAGGATGGTCCCGTTGATAACAGGGGATGCAGCTCCTGCTTGTTGAGAGATACTAGTTGTTTAGCTTAAATTAATAAGTCTTAATTAGTATAAATTATTTAGGGTTATAATATGGTGTGATTTATGCTGTTTGCCTCGCTTTGCTTGGCACGAGCAGCTGGATTTGCTGAAGCCTTTAGGCTACAATAGTTAATTTTCTCAGTAATTTTCCCAGCAGCTGGTGCGGTGCTGTGTTTAGTCTTCTAGTACCAGGGAAATGTTGATAACACCCGGATGTTTTGGTAGTGTTTTCCCTAAGTCTGGGACTTTACAGCTCCCCACGCTCTGCCAGCGAGCGCAGGTGCCCAAGAAGTGTAAATCAGAGATAAGGAGGCTCCAGCCCTCAGCAGAGACTGGGAATCGGTGAGATAAGAGCAGTGAAGGGCCAGCCCTGGCTGCGAGGGAGAGTCCCAGGAGGTGTTAGGAGACCCCAGACCAAAAATCACCGTTGGACTAAGAAATGTGTGAAGGGCGGGTGTAGAGATCACGAGGGCATCACTGCCTGGGGATTTCTTTGTTCGACATCCCTCTTGGAGGTGCCCAGCCCGGGCTGCCCCTGCTGCTGTGTCTTTCAATTAAATGACTTATTTTTATAAAATCTGGTGCCCGAGACTCTGCTGTGGGGAACCCAGGGCTGAGCCTGAAGGAGGAGGGAGCGCGTCCAGGAGTGTGTGTGAGAGGAATGGAAGGGGTGTCCATCGTCTCTCGGGGGTCACCCACTGTGAGGGGACCCTGTGATGGCAGTGACAGACTCATGGGGTGTGGGGGACCCCTGGGGGTCTGAGCACTCAGGCTGCAGGGGCCATGGTCTGGCTGCAGCCCCCTGCGCCGGGGGTGGGCAGGGGTGCAGGCAGGGATGCTCTGCCTTCCCTGTCCCCCCTGTGTGGGTGTCCCCCTCCCTGTGGTGGCCCTCCCTGCCCTGCACCTCCCTCCTGGGCTGCTGTGGCGGGCTGTAGAGGAACCCCCGGAGAAGGGGATGGAGGAGAAGCAATGCTGGCCTGGGGTGGTGGGACTGGGGGCACTGGGGCTGCCCTGTGCTGCACTGGTGGGAGGGAGATGGAGGAACACGGTGTGCCCGGGCTGAGGGTGTGCTGCTGCTTTGGCCCTTGCAGGGGAGGAATGTTTCTGGGAAATGGCCTGGCTTTCCCAGGAAAAGCAGCTGAGTCGCTGGGGGGCACCCGATCCCAGGGAAATGGGGTCAAAGATGGGAGTTTTAGGGCCCTGACCCTGCAGGCTCTGCCCTGGTGCGCGCTGCGGAGCGGCTGCCACCGGCTGTGGCCGTGTTGGGGTGAGCCCGGCCACCGTCGCACGCAGCCGGTTCCTGTTTCTTCCCACAGCCTGGAAATCCCCTGACTTTCCGCCGGGGTGAGGAGCGGGAGCCCTGTGCCCAGCTGGCCCCGTGCCTCCCCGCAGCTTCGGGAAGAGGCCGCCCCCAGGGAACCGGTTGCCCCCATGCCCGGGTCCTGTCTGTGCAGACAGTGGGGCTGGAGCTGGCAGGGACCCTCCCGGGGCAGGAGAGCCCCTCAAACCCATCTCCTTTTGGGCAGACACTTCCTTGCCCCCCAGCTGGGAAGTGGGGTTCTGGGCTTTGCCCTCAGTGGAGGGGACGAGGGGACAGTGGTGGCTTTGTGGGACATGCAATGAGCCTTGTAGGTCTCAGCCCCATTCCTCTTGGCTCCTGGAGGTGAAGATGCTGGTGCAGATGGTGGGGAAAGCTGATGCAGCCACAAGGTATTGATGAGAGACAGTGCTGGGGGGTCTGTGGGGACACCCCAGGTTTGCTGGGAGGGTCCTGCAGTGAGACCCTGGTTTGTCCCGCTCCAGCTGGGGGTCCGGGCAGGATCTCACCTCCCGGGAGCCGGTTCTCCTGCCCCCGTGGTGGGGCGGGCGCGGGGCCGGCGGGGAGCAGAGTGTGGCTGATGCAACGCAGACCCGCAGCCGCTGCCTCCCGCCCGGGTTTCTCTGCCATGGACAGTTTCCAATCGATCCTGCCCTCCTGCTGCTGGGAACCCGGCCCTCCCGGGAGGGGGAAGCACGGCGCTTACCAGAATTTGGGTGATGGCTTTCCAGCACGCCCAACGCGCTGCCAAGATCGAAGTAAATCACATGTGGCCGGGGGCGATCATGAGAAACACCCGCGAGGGAGCGGCAGCACTGGAGAGAGCCTGGGGGGCTCAGGGGGGCTGTCTGCGCCTCTGCACCCCCTCCTCTGCGCCTCTGCACCCCCTCTTCTGCGCCTCTGCACCCCCTCTTCTGTGCCCTGGAGGTGCTCAGCAGCCCTTGGAGCCCCCCACCACTCCAGACAAACCAGCAACGGAGCTGGGGTGAGCCCCGGAGCATCACTGCACCCTGACCCCCATCCCTGACCCCCAGCTTTGGGGACCCCAGGGTGGAGGGATGTGCTGTGACACCACCCAGACCCCCCAAAACAGGCTCGGGGGGGTCTCCTGCCTCTGCGTTGTGACCCCATGCAGTGCCATAGTTCTGGCAGTTTCATATGGAAAGGCAGGACTCGTGGATTTGCCCTGTCCTGCCTCAAAATTACCGTCAGGGATGTTTTCTCCAATTTTTTCTTCTCTTTCTGTAACACACCGACCGAAAGCAAATGGCAGCAGCCAGAAACTCTGTCAGACAAATAACCGAGCCTTTAAAATCCAAACAAGCCCGGGCAGCCGCTCGCTCCCTCGCTGCTGGGGCCGGGGCAGAGCTGCCTCCGGGGCCGGTGCAAACCCACCAGCCGCCCTGTCGGGAGGGGGCAGCTCCCGACCCCCCCTTTCCCCCACATCTAAACTTTCCTCATGAAATAAAAGGTGGAGGTGCCTCGAGGGACCTGAGGGCTCCCGGCAGCACATCCCAGCCCCACAGGCCTGGCCGTACTGGGAGGAGCGTCCCTGCCTGCCCGCTGCCTGTCCTGCCCGCTGGGAGATAAGTCGTGGTGGGCCCGGCTCCCGACGGGGCAGATCTCCGCTCCCGGCCGGACAGGCCCCGGTAGGCCCCGCCGTCGGGGGCAGGCCCCGCGCCCCGTCTCCATGGCACCCGGTTCCGCTCCACCCCCTGCCCTTTGCCCCCCGTCCGGCGGTGACGGGCAGCTCCCGCGGCCAATCAGAGCGCCCCGCCGCTCGGCAGAGGGGGTGGGCGGGCTGGAAACGCGGCGAAACCAACCGGAAGAGAAAGCCGCACCGCCGGCTCCGCCCCCTCGGGGCACGGCCGCAGCCAACCAGCGGGCGAGCGAGAGGGGGCGGGGCCGG